TATTTAAATGAATATTTTAATATAAATAATAAGATTTAACTCTTACCCCTACCTTTTACATTCCACTGCTGTGTGATTAGGGACGTTAAAATGACTTGTTGTTTGCAAACAGTTCATGTTCGACTCACTGAGTAAATGAGCCAAACACGATTAAATTTTTGCGCTCGATATATTATTGAGTTGAACACAAACAACGTTATTTTTTAGCGAGCCAAACACAGCCGAGTCAGAACTCACTCAAACTCGACTTGTTTACACCCATAGTCAGATGAACTCACCATAACTGGGGGGGGGGGGGTAGCCCTATGGAGGAGGTTAACAACGAGGAGACAACTGGATGAAGGTGAGATACTCGTGGTTCGACGGGTTCTAAGGACTGAGGATAAAATGGATATGCAGTGTCTTTGCCGCAACATATTCCACGCTCTTTGCACTCCGAACGGGAATGTATGCAGTCTCATCATTGATTGAGGGAGCAGTAAGAACGTGGCTTCTACACAGATGGTGGAGAAGTTGGGTCTCATAACTCAGAGACACTTCCAACTATATTCTCTGATGTGGTTGAAGAAGGAGAACATGGTCCCCATTGATTGGAGGTGCCTAGTGGAGTTTTCAATTGAGAGTTAGCTGTAGAATTATGTGTGGTGTGATGTGATGTGGTACCCATTGATGTCTGCCACTTGATGTTGGAGAAGTTATAACAATTTGACTATACTACTCAACATGATGGATTCAAAGACACATACTCTTTTACCAAGGATGGAAGAACATCATTCTTCTCCCTTGGACGGAGCCCGAGATCACGTGCCATTGCTATTAGAGTAGTATCGGTGGAACCAATTTCGGTGACGATCAAGGATGATAGGACTGAGACACCAACTCCAGACACAGGACAATCACAACAGAGAGTATTTTAGTAAATCGCGGTTGATACCTTACCACCATAGCCACCACTATTCGGGGAGGTTCAAGTTACTCTCACTTAAGATTAGGTTGAACCGACCATGGGTACTTTGGGAGAATTCAACTGTTTATGCAGGACACATAAACCCAATCCAACTCAGTAGGGGACCCCCATAAGATTGGATCGATATGGAGGTGTGCTCGCAAGTGAAGAAAACTTGCCTAGTGTTTTGGGAGGCAGTACAGTCGCTAGTGGGATATAGGTGTTCTTCGAGCCACCGCCAAAGGTCTGTTAGCCCCGAGAGGTTCCAACAACTCCGTCATCGTCAACGTGCAAACAAAAACTTTGACTAATGAAGTCGAAGCTCCCCAAATCTTGGCAAACAGAAGCGGGGCTCTATGAGGGTTGAACCAACTGGACGACTTGGACCTGTTCAGCCAAGGAGTTACTAGGGCTGACCGACTCCTATTTTGGGGGGTTAGGGTTGTCATCTGAGGGTGGGGCCTCCCCCTCCTAGTTATGTATTATATATTCATTATTTTCTATTTTAGAGTTAATTTTTGTTGAGATTTCTATTTGAACAGCCTCCGACCTTCCCATTTTCTCTTATAGGCTATATCTGACGGCGAGAAGGTGCTCCGGCTGTAACTCATCTTAGGTGGTGTTTATCTTCCCTTTTCCTATTTGTTATCATCTTCATGCACCCCATCTTTCTTGTTTTTTTTTCCTACCAGACTTGGCACAACTCTCCCCTACACCTTCTAGGCTTGCTTCAACTCTTCCCTTCCCTCCAAATGTGTCGCACTGCTCCCCCCCAACACCTCCCAGATTTACCGCAAACCTCTCCAGACCATCTAACAGCTGCCGTATCCCCCAGTACTAGACTTTGCTACCGCCGACAACCTTTGTACCTCTTTATCTACTGCATCATTTAAAACCACATTCCACACACACACAGAGCAACCCTCCCTTCCCATCTTCTCTGTTGGCCAGTTGTCATCCACCCCTTTCACCATTGCCCGAGGGTGTCAATTTGTGTTGTTATAATTTATTCCTATTTTGAAGAGTCGCCGTTTTAACCTATTTGAATTCCAGCAATAATATTTTCATTTCTATTGTGATGTGGATTAACTCCGGTATCAGTTCCAACCCTCTACCTTCCAACCCCTTGGTCGATTCGTGTGCCATCTATGTTTAATATGTTGCAATAATTAGACTCCACAACACAGCACTATCAATTGATCTCTTGGTATTTGACACTATTTTTAATTAAGGGCATTTATTTCATTTATTTTACGTACATACCATTCAATTCCTTTGTATTTACATATCTAGAACCTAAAGTTTACTTTTTACATTAATACCACCAAATATTTTCATATCACTTCAAAAATATCACTATTTAAACTTTGAAAAAGTGAAATTCAGCATATATAAAGTGGCAGGTATGTAAAGATTGAAGTTTAGGTGTTAGATATGTAAATGCATAGGAAATGAGTGGTATGTATGTAAATCTTTCTTTATTTTATTTATTTGTTTAACCAGCTTAAGAGAATGCTTAAAAATGCTGTTTACCCTAACTTGGTAAATATTTTCTCTTCATTTATGCAGCTTAAGACATGACAGACCTTTCACTCTTTCAATGGCTAATGCTGGGCCTAATACAAATGGATCCCAGTTTTTTATCACCACTGTGGCCACTCCATGGCTGGATAATAAGCATTCTGTGTTTGGTAGAGTTGTCAAAGGGATGGATGTGGTGCAGGTTAGTATTTTTTTTTTCCTGAGGCTTATTGAAAGAAGAAATTTTGTTGCTTTAATTTGATATGAGTGCAATGTATTGCTAATTACTTGATGGGCCATTTACATACATTTAAACCATTTCCTATGTATATACATATCTAACACTTAAATTTTACTTTTAACATCTTGTAGGTTATAAGAATTTAGCGGAATACTTTATTAATATGAAAGACGTTATAAATACAACTTACACGAATCCTAAACTATGACATACATATAACACTTATATCTCCAAGATTATAATTAATCAATTCCTAATAAGTACTCGGAGATAAAAGAAAAGACATAAAATAAGAAAAAAGATAACACCTATATCTCCAAGACTATAATTAATCAATTTCCTAATAACTACCTAGAGTAAAGGAAATGCATAAAATAGGGAAGACATAAAATAGGAAAAATTAGAAAAAAAAATCAATTTCTAATAACTTCTAACACTCATGCTCAAGTTGAAACATAGATGTTCAACTTGAATTTGAAATCATAAAACAATGGGCGAGGGATATATGTTGTGTGGTAGAACATGAAGTCTTCATCCCCAATAGCATTTAGAGATACTTCTAGTTGGTTGCGGTTGTCTTTATCTACAGTTGTATTTGACTGTGGTTTTTGTAGGTAGGCAGAAGGCTGTTATATGCAATGCTACAGAGAAGATTGCGGGGAAGTAGATAACTTATAGGGAAAGTTGTAGGACATAACCTGCAAAGAAAAAGTTCTAGAGGAGGGCCTACTACAGGACTTCAGTGGAGGCCTCCTACAGGAAACGATTTTGGAGGAGGGTCTGCTGCAGGAAAAGGTGTTGGAGGAGGGTCTGCTGCAGGAAAAAGACTTGGGAGGAGGGTGTTGTTGTAGGAGAAGGTTCCAGAGAAAGGTCTGCTGCAGGAAAAAGTTTCGAAGGATGGCTTGTTGTAGGAAAAAAAAGACTATGGCGGCAAAGGAGAATCGAGGAAGATGTCATCATACCATTTTTTTGAGAAAAAAGAAAGGGAAAGAAAAAATAATAATAAATCATCCTCCTCGAATGACTATCCTGGATGAACATGAGAGGTCGATAGGCCGGAGGAGAACTGACTAGAACCAAACAGCTTATTCCACTCGACTCTGAATAGAGTTCAACGTGTCTTGGACCAAATCTTCTGCTGCTAAAGGTCTCTCTACGCCCTCGAAATCTACAACACTTCAGTCAACCCCTTTATTTGTCGATTCCCCGTGGAGTTTGTGGTGTTCAGTTCCTCCGTTGTCTATAGAGGGATTGAGGTAGATGTCGAGCCTCCGGTGGAATCAAGAACAGTGTCAGATGGAAGGTCGAAGGTGGAGGAATCAGCCATGGTTCCAATCAGACGCCGAGACATGGAAGAAGCCATTCCCTGCGTCTGGAAAGGAGGGACACAGATGCGACGATTAAGCTGAATATCCTTCGACATAAAAGGAATCCTCTTCACATGGATGGCGCAAAGATTTATGTCTTTAAAGAGACCGACAAGTTAAGACTTTGCAGCCTCCTAAAGCGCAACAACGACAAAACTCTAGAATTGGAGATTGGTTTTGAAATCCTGCGCAATTTTGTGGACTAGACGTAGGAAGGGAAGCTACAGATGAGGTGCTCCATGCTCTTTTGGTATGTCCTGATCTCCCTCAGCGCAACTGTTCTGGGACGTAAACAATGAGATTTCTTCATGCCACCGGTCGCAGGAGCCGACTTCTTGACCACCATGGTTGTTAGTTGCTCAATTGGGGCATTGCCGCCGGTGGACTTGCAAGCAGTTTGCTTTGTCTTTCGAGGTGGTTTGTGCTTAGGCTCTAGAGGCCACGGAGAAGATGTTTTTATAGGAGACAAAAAAACTGTTGGCTGCTTGTGAATTGAAGAGAAGGAATTTTCACGTGAGTATGCCGACAAGAAGAAATTCTGACGGGAGACAAGGCCTCTAGGAGGAAGATTTATTTCGGAAGAAAGAAATCCTTGCAGCAATTGAGTGCAGTCAAAGACTGTAGTGAGAACTTGGATCGTAGGAGGGCCTGTGGTGGGAAATTCCGGCTGGGGGTTTCGGCGCCTAATGGGCTGCGGTGGGAGAAGTTCTGGTTGCTAGGGACCTGCAGGGAGAGATTTTGGAAGGCTAGTTTATGCGGGAAGGAGTTCCAACAACTAGGGCCTGCAGGGTGAGGAGTTTCGGCGGCTAGGGACCTGTGGGGAGAGAGTTCTAGTGGTTAATTCTTGCATGAAGGAGTTCCGACAGCTAGGACCTGGAGGGAGAGGGGTTTTGACGGCTAGGGCCGGCAAGGAGAAAGATTGTTGATTGCAAGGAATAAGAAGTTTCTGACGGCAAAAGATCTCCTCCGCCTGAGACTCTAGGGCTTATTTCAAGGCTCTGATACCATGTAGGTTTTAAGAATTTAGCAGAATATTTTATTTATATGAAAAGGGAGGATAAATAGAACTTATATGAATTCTAAAATAGGAAATACATAACGTCTATGTCTCCAAGATTACAATTAATCAATTCTTAATAATTACTCGGAGATAAAAGGAAAAAAAATACGACCTATATCTCCTAATAACTCGACCTATATCTCCTAATAACTATCTAGAGATAAAAGTAAGTACATAAAATAGGAAATACATAAAATAGAAAATAACAAGAAAGAAAATAAATCAATTCCTAATAACTTCTAACATATCTATACCAACCAAGTCTTTCATGTCTCATCAAACATACCCTCATTTTTTAACTTTTAAAATGTGAGATGCACATTTTCATGTATCGGAAAGGTAACATTTATAAAAATTAAAGTTTACGTGCTAAATATGTAAATACATATGAATTAAGTGGTATGTACATAAATCTTCTTTCAATAATTTTTGCAAGGGTAATTATGTACATAACCATTGAAACATCGCTATTTACCAAACTAGCACTCATGCAAATGCCACAAACAAACCATTGAGAATTTGATAAAAAGGAAAAATATGGGTAGGATTTTATCATGAATTTTGATATTTCAGTGAGAATTTGAAAAATGAATGAAAGATGGTACTTGATTTGTAAATATCAAATTCTTTAGTGCTATGAATGAAGCTGTACTTTTCTCTAAGCATGTTCAATCGTCAGAAAATTCATCATGGTCGAATTTGTATGATGATGTCCTTATTTAAACTATTGCTAGATTTTTTCTTGTCCCTGAATTTGCTTTAAGATGAGTGCAATGTTTGGCTAATTAATCAACTTCTATATTGCACTATTCTCAAGGCATACTCAATAGTTGCAAAATTCATCATGCTTAAAGTTGGATTAGAATATCCTATTCTAAATTTATGCAAGTTGAGTGCAATACATGATTAATCAATCAACTTATATATCGCACCCAATCTCAGAGCAAAATTCGAAAAAAGCGTCATTTACCTACCACTCGAAACATTACTATTTACAAACCTGGCACTCTCTTTCATCCATTTTTCAATTTCCCGCTCAAATATTGAAATGCATGATAAAACCCCAACCCGTATTCTTTATTTTTATCAAATTCTCGATGGTTTGATCATGACACGCGTAACTACATCGGTTCGGCAGTTCAAAAGCAACGCTTGGGTGCTTTATTTTGTAAATAGTAATGTTTTGGTTGCTATGTATGTACATGAGGGTATCATGATTAAACTTTGGTTGTTATGGGTTTGAAACCTTTGGATTTGCTTTCAGATTAGTGCAATACAAAACTTAATTGATTATTCATCCTAACCTAAATTCAATCATGATATTTTCACCCATATTTTTATTCTATTTATTAAGTAACTGGAAGTATATTTATTCTTCTTGCAAACCTGCAGGGAATAGAGAAGGTGAAGACTGATAGGAATGACAAACCATATCAGGATGTGAAGATTCTCAATGCTACTGTCCCCAAGCCTTAGAAGATATATTTGTAATAACTCATAATTATGAGGTCTTTATTATTATTATTATTATTTATATGTACTCTTGATGCTTTAATTTATGCTGTGAAAATTATATTTCAAGTTTGTAAAAAAATTTTGTGGAATTTGGGATTTGAAACATACATTATTTTAGGTGTATGATTGAGACTTGAGAGGGGGGCCCGATTTGGAGCCGAAGTTTGGGTTCGAAATCGGCTTGAATAGATTAGTGGCTCGAAATTGGCTCATGGCTCGTTATATTCGATTTTAAGCTGAGCGGCTTGAAATTGAATCGGGTTGGCTTAAATTGATCGTTTAAGCTCGGAATCAGCTCAATCCGACTCAAAATTGAAACTGATTATCTCAAATTGAGCTATTTGGATATGATCTAGCTTAAAATCGGTTCGAAATTAACATTATATACATAATCTTTATAAATAAAAAACTACTACGAGCAAATCTTGAGTCAATTCCAACTGATGCACGTATGGCTTGAAATCGGTTAAAAGATCTTTAATTTAACATTTTGGTTTGTAGCTTGCCTCGTATTTCAATTTAATATTGGTTTAAGCCAACAATCGAATCAATTTTTTTTTTTTTTGTAAATAGAGCTGATGCACTTATGCGTGTCATGTTCAAATCATCAAAAATTCAATAAAAATAAAAAATATGGGTAGAGATTATCATGAATTTTGATCAATAAATTGCAATGTTGCCCTCTTTATTTTGGGATTTTACATTAACAGTTTACATTTCTTTATTTGCATATGTAGCCCTTAATGTTTACAACTTGTCAATCACTTGGTTAAAAATTAAACACGAGTATTATGTGTTTCTATTTTTAGGACTCTGTGATATATTGTTAAATATTATAAATTACATACCTACCATCTAAAACATATATATTTACTAAAAAATATTACATCACGACTCTGAACATAGAGCTACGTTCGGATTGCAATAGTTTGAAATCTCTCGCTGTGTTATAGGAATATTTCATCTGCATTATTTATAAAAAATTAAGTGTTATTCGAGTATTATATGGTGTTATTTGATTATTTTGCAGTGTTATTGAAATATTCCCTCCCGAGTACTTGATTTGGGGTTGTGTTATTCGACATATTTTCCGTGTTATTTCAATTTTCAGAATGTTATTGGAATAACACAGTCTCAAATCAAGTAACGCGGGGGAATATTCCAATAACACTTCACCCCAAATTAAGTAATGCGGGAGAATATTTCAATAACACCGCAAAGTAATCGAATAACGTCATATAATACTCAAATAACACATCGTTTTTTACCAACAACGCAGATGAAATATTACTTTAACTTAGCGGGATATTCTTAACTATTGCAATCCGAACGTAGCTCTATATTCGGAGTCCTGATGTAATATTTTTCCTATATTTACATATCAAACACCAAAACTCTAATATTTACATGTGAACCAGTCAAAATTTCGATCTCAGGTTAGGAAGACTGCAGAGAGGAATGATAATGGATAGTGGCAAATCTGAAAGGTATAAGTTCTAGGGGGATAACATGTAAATATTAGAGTATAGGTGGTTTCATATGTAAATATATATGTTTTAGATGGTACATATGTAAAAACCTCATATTAATAATGGCGATTCTCTCAGATCTGGTAGTGGTGACCGCATAAAGCATAAGATGCTGCATGGTTTCGTAATTGATGGGATTCTTTTATTCTTCTGGTAGGCGATTTAAAGTGATTGAAACATTCAAATTATGAATATTTTGGTTTTGCTGATTATTATATTTTATATTGTCCGAAGAAAAAAATTTTATTAGAGAAGATTTAAATGGACATGTTGGTAGAGTAGTAAAAGATTTTTAAAATATTCGTGGCGACTAGTACGGTTTTGGAGTGACCGACGAAGAAGGTAAAATCATATTAGATTTTGCTTTAGTGTTTTGTTTTGTTTTGTTATTGCTAATATTTTATTTTAGGAACGAGATAGGACATATTATTAGCTATAAAAATGGATCAAATAAAACATAAATTGATTATTTTTTTATGAGAAAAAAAGATCGTAGAGAGTGCAAAAATTGTGATGTTATTCTAAGTGGAAACTTCAAGATATCACGATTTGGGATGTCCATGAAGAAACAAATTCTATGTGGGATAAAATGATAAGTACTGTTAAATAAGTGACAAAAGATGTACTTGGAGAATCAAAAGAAAATTTTTTTATAAATAGAAAGAGTTGGTGGTGGAATAATAATGAGAAAGAAAAGATAAAATGTAAGAAGTTATGTTAAAAAAATTGATTTAAATGTAAAAACATAGAATATTGAGAAAAATATAATGTGGCTCGTAAGGTGTATAAGATAATAATTTGTGACGCTAAAAATACTTCTTTAGTGATCTTCTTTATAATAGATTAGATAATAAAGAGAGTGAAAAAATATATATAAACTAGTCAAACAAAGAGAAGAGAAAAGTGAAGTTTTAATTCAAGTAAAATGTATCAAAGAAAGTTTTAATTCAAGTAAAGTGTATCAAAGATGAAAATCAAAAAGTGATTTTCTTAGAGAAATATATTCAAAGTAGGTGGGTGAGCTATTTTTATAGACTTTTCAATGAAGTTTATGAAAATACGATCGACTTTAGTGATCTTAGCATCATTAATGATAATAAATTGTTTTATTTTTATCATTCTATTACATTTTTACCATTCTATTACTAAAAATGAAGTTGATGAGGCTTTAAAGAAAACCAATATTGGAAATCAATAGGACTTGATGATGCCCCAATTGAAGTGTGGAGATATTTAGGAGATTTGGGAGTTTTTTGGCTTAATAAACTCTTTAATATTATTTTAAAAACTAAAATGATGTCTGAGGAGTGGAGGAAGGGTATTTTGGTTCTCATTTTAATGAATAAATGAGATGCACAAGAGTGTACAAATTATAGAGAACTTAAGTTGATGTGTCATACTTTAAGATTATGGGACAGGGTAATTGAACATTTGTTAAGACGTGATACAGAGATTTCTCATAATCATTTTGGATTCATGCCAAGCAGGTCTACTATGGAAGCTATACATTTATTGAGAGGTTTGACGGAGAAGTACAAAGAGAATAAGGAGGATCTACATATAATTTTTATTGATTTAGAAAATACTTACGTTAAGGTCCCAAGAGAAGTCATTTGGAGAGTTTTAGAAAAAAAAGGGTGTTGATATGACGTATATTCAAGTCATTAAGGATATGTATACTAAAATTATTACTTGTGTTCGAACATAAGTAGGATTGACCAAGTATTTTATTGTTTCAGTTGGATTACATCAGAGATTGGCTTTAAGCTCATATCATTTTGTTGTAGTTATTGATGCTCTTACTGGACATTAACAGGAGGATGTACTTAGGTTATGTTTTTCATTGATGATATCCTTCTTATGAATAAGACTAGAGAAGGACTTCATAAAAAACTTGAATTATGAAGGTCTACATTGGAGGCTAAAAGCCTTCGTTTAAGTAAGTTTAAGTAAATCTAAGACTTAATACATTGAATGTAATTTTAGCGGTAGTAACTCTAGTGACCGAGTTGTAACTATGGGTGATCAAATCATTAATTGGTGTGATCCTTTTAGATATCTCGGATCTATTGTTCAAAGTGATGGTGATATAGATGAGGATGTTACTGATAGAATTCAAGTTGGTTGGTTGAAGTGGAGAAATGCATCAAACCTATTGTGTGATAGAAAAGTACCGGTTAGACTTAGAGGAAAATTTTATAAGATAGTGATGATACCCACGATACTCTATGGTGCATAATGTTGCCCTTTAAAAGAGAAGCATAAAACAAAGTTAAGTATTGTTAAGATGAAAATGCTTAAATAGATGAGTGGCTTAACACTTAGAGACAAAATGTGAAATGAATATATCTGTGATAGGGTGGGTGCAGCTCCAGTGGAGGACAAGATTAGAGCTATCTTTGATGGTTTGGTCACATTAAACGTCGACCATCTGATGATCTTGTTAGTAGAGTAGATGTTTTAGATTTGACTTATGCTAAGAAAGACAGAGATAGACCTAAAAAGACTTGGACATAGTATATAAAAAAAAGATCTTAATCTATTAGAATTAAATGAAAATGTGACACTTAATAGTACTCAATGGAGAAAAAGGATTCATGTAGCCGACCCCACTTAGTGGGATAAAGTCTTGTATTTGTTGTTGTTAATATATATTGTTTGTTATAATATAATTTTCAAATTTTGAAGACATCAAATTTTGAAGTTACATATAATATGTTAGAGATAAATTAAATATATAATCTTAAAATAAATTTAATTTAATAAATTTTTAAATTAAATATATAATCTTAAAATAAATTTAATTTAATAAATTTTTTTTGCATTTTTACAATTGAGTGGTATGTATGTAAATATTTACCGGGGCTTGTTTCATAAAAAGAACAACAATAGACCAACACTTAATTGTACTCAGAGAATCAAAATTTTAGTGCATGTGACTTTCAATGATGGAAGTAAGGGCACATTTGTAATTACGTAAATATGCTTGACTGTTGAGCTTGTTCTATGATTAGTTTTTTAATTAGGCTAATTATATTATTATTTTTTGTTAAGTGAGTTTTTAATTATCATTACATTGATAAATAAGGGATTAATCACACTAAAAAGAAACTAGATGGAAAGAAATATAATATGCATGTTTATCTTCTTCATGAAGAAAAATATTATTCATTTGCTTCTTAGAGTCCGTTTGGGGCAGCGTTTGGTGCGGCGGCGTTTTGAAAAAGCACTTGGCCTGTTTGGGTAAACTGTATTTTGACAGCTTGTTCGTTTTCAAAACGCCGTAAACAACATTTTCACACCGCACCTATTTAGGTGTGGTGGCAGCTTTCTAGCAGCGGTCTGACTTTTTCAATAATAGCCACCGCACCTAGCTTATTAACAGATTATTTTTAATCAGCCTATCAGCAAATTATTCAATAAGCTGCAGCTGCCCCAAGCAGACACTTAGTTGTATGGTGCATGTTATGTTCATAATTAGAAACATATTGCATAGTCCTAGTTCATGATTATTTTACCTTGTAATGGTCATATTTAAATTTTTTTTTTTTTAAAGATTGGTCAGAGACTATAATACGAGCCCCCAACAAAACTCATGTATAATTATGGATTACGTATAATGTACATATATTTCTCAAACTCGAGTATAATTTTTCATGCCCATTTACATCATATAAAGAATTAATTATGCTTGTTCTATTTCAATCATGTAGACAAACTTGCCATAATTTCAATTTTACATATATTTCAATCATTCAATACAATAATAAGAAGCAAAGTTTTGGTGTTATTTTTACATGCAGATCACCAGAAACTTGCTATTTACAAATCAACCACACCTTTTCATCAAATTTTCAATTTCACTCGAGTAACAAATTTCATGATAAAAGCCTAACCAATATTTTTATAAAGTTCACGATAGTTTGATCGTTGAGCACGTAAACACATTGGTTTGGTAGTTCAAAAAATCACCTAGATGGTAAATTTGTAAATATCAATATTTCGGATGATCTATATGTAATTATCCTTAAAAAAAAACTTTGGTGGTATATGTAAATACAGAGGAATTGAGTGGTATAAAGGTAATTATATTTTTTTTTAGAAGTAGGCTCCCGCCTCCATTCCAACTTCATTCTTCTATAAATAGCGCTGAATCGCAACTCTTGCATTCGACTATAAGAATTTGAGGGAGAAAACAGAGAAGAAAGCTGGGTCAGCTTCTATCCTGCTCCCGATTTCAAACCGTGAAAGCCGACTCCATCGTCGGCCAATCCATGGCGAGGAATCACTTCAAGTACATCATCCTCGGCGGTGGCGTAGCAGCGGTGAGTTCGGAGTTTTTATTCCGTTCCGGTGATGGTAAAGCTATTCTGATCTTAACTTTTGTGTTCAGTTTGAAGCAATTTTCCTCTGTTGAGCTTGTCTTCTCCAATCTCGATCTAGGTTTCTATAAATTTGTTTGCATATAAAGTTAGAAGAGTCGCTATTTATTTGGTTTATTCATTTTTTTTTCTTGTATAGGGTTATGCGGCCAGGGAATTCGTAAAGCAGGGGCTTAAAGCAGGAGAACTGGCGATCATCTCGAAGGAGGCGGTAGGCATTGGTTATTTCCCTATTTATTTTTAGGGCTGGTTTTGTGCTGTGGTAACTACTGGATTATTTGATGATGCGTTGTTTTCTGATTCATCTAGAGTAGAATAGACATTATTAAGCATTTCTGGTTCATTTCAGCGATTGGTGTGGTAGTTGGAACAGAGTCTTGTCGATGTTTGGTTCGGATTGTGATTATTTCTTTTGATTTGAATTTTAATTGAGCTAGAAGTGCGAATAATCAGTAAGTATATTTACTTGTCATTAGATTTACTTCTTACTTGCTAAGGAACTGTTTGGCAACAAGTACGATTTTTCCCTGGTGATATTTTGTAAATCCTGTAAATTCAGATATAGTAAATCTTAGTATTATAACCGTAGAACTTTTTTGCATAACTATTAAATCTTGCTAAATTTGATATATTATATGATTTCTTTTCAGGATTTAAGATCTAGATTCCTTTTTACTGTGATTATTGTTTTAGGGTTTAAGATTTGTGAGAGGGAGAAATCCCTAAATCATTTAAATCTTATAAATGATGGTCTTCAACAGAACTTGGATTAACTAATAACCGAAATGAAAAAGTATTTTATCAAATAATGGGATTTAAAATACCTCTGATACTGCTTGGCTTGATTCAGAGTAGAACTTACTTAAATCCTTCTTAATATACTGTTAGACGAGATTTTAAATATTTTCAGTTCATCAATTCAGATTACAACTCTATTACGATGGAGGTCCTACAGGGTATTTTGCTTCTGTTTTATATTTTTGAAAGATCCACAGACATACCACTTAATTCTTATGTATCTAACACCTAAACTTCAATTTTTACTTATAAGCCACCTTACATGTGCATGAAAATGTGTATTTCATTTTTTAAAAGTTAAAACGGTGTTATTTTTTATGTGATGTGAAAATTTTTAGTTGCATAAATGTAAAAAATGCAGTTTATTATAAATGATGGTCTTCAACAGAACTTGGATTAACCAATAACCGAAATGAAAAAGTATTTTATCAAAATAATAGGATTTAAAATCCCTCTGATACTGCTGTAAATACATAGGAATTGGCTGGTATGTATGTAAATGTCTCTCTTAAAACATTTATTTATTTATTTATTTCTTTTGGCCTTGTATTTTGACGATGTCTTGCCCTCAAGTTACTAGGTTTTAGGTGTTAATGTATTCGGTATTATCTTTTCAGGTGGCTCCCTACGAACGTCCGGCACTAAGCAAGGCATATCTTTTTCCTCAAGGTACATCGCACAAATTCTGAAATAAAAATCCCAGATGATGGTGTCAGAGCATCTTGGCCTGTTCGTGAATCATACGAGTCCTAAGGATAGAATTTTAGGCCATTATTGTCTATTCATTTAGATTATACCCATAAATCATAATGATTTATCGTCCATGATTAGAACAAAATGCACATTCTAAGAAAACTTGTCTGGCGTTAATAATCTATTAAGCCAAAATGAAGTGAAATATAATTATTCGTGAAATTTACATACATGGCTCACAATTCTTATGTATTTACATCTCTTTACCTAAACTTCAATATTTACATATGCACACTTTGGTCCTTTAACCCTATGCATGAAAATGTGTATTTCGCTTTTAAGAAGTGGTAACATCACTATTTTTTATGTGATATCAAAGATTTAAGTGCTATGTGTGCAAATATAAAAAATTAGGTGTGAGGTATGTAAATACATAAGAATTTTATACTATTCATGTATATGCCTAAAGAGTGTTCAAAATCAATTAAAGTTAAATCATCCAACTACATACTAAAAACATGGTTGCCATCTGGTTGAAGGAGGGAGAAGATTTTACCTATATATCCTCGTGAAGTACTTGCTATAAATTAATGATATAAAAAATTATTAATGCAGCTAGGCTGCAAAATAAAATCCCTATGCTAGTTTAGTTCATCTTCTAGCGTCCCTTTTTTTCTGATTGCATGACAGCTTTCAGAATCATTAATAGGATCAATTATCTAGTATTTTATTAAGTATTTGTTTTATATACCTATTGTTCAACAATTTTCTACCAACACTACATGCCTATTGCCCCCTCTTTTTTGTAATTTGTGAGTGATACATGAACCCAATCCCCTGTAAGCAAGACAGAGTTAACAAAGTTTAAATAACAGCATATATCAGTCTTATACGCTCATAAAATTACTGATAATTATAAATCTTAAGGCCAGATTTTTTGCCTAAACATAGGTTTTTTATTATTATTATTTTAATAAAGTCCACTTCTTGAACTGTATTGGCATGAAAGAATCATCGCAATTCATTGAAGGTTTCTACATGCATTCAAAATGAATTGATTTATGTGTAATAATTTCATATTTCCTTATTTTACACATGAATTGGTTGCTTCAATTGTATATGCGGAATTCAAAGCTATTTAGCAACCAATAATGGCATCCTCTTTTTATGTCTACTCAAATAAAACACATTTTTTTTAGTTAGTAGACGAAGGAACGATGTAACCAAGTGGTTTTGTTTATCATTTTTTGCTTTTTTCTTTTAAACTTACACACATCTTATTCTTTTTCTTGTGTGTAACTTTCACTTATTTACACAGCTGGCACTCAAATATTTAATACCACATCACAAATAACATTATCATAACTTTTTTAAGTGGAATACAACTTCTCATGCATAGGTATAAAGCACCAAAGTGCTATTTATGTAAATATAAAAGCTTAGATGTAAATACATAAGAATTGTGTCCAATGTATGTAAATTTCACTTTTCTTTACCCTAGGTGCCGCAAGGCTTCCAGGCTTTCACGTGTGTGTTGGAAGTGGAGGAGAGAGGCTTCTTCCACAATGGTATATAGAAAAAGGTAAGTTTTAGTTGCATTCTCTTTTTCGACATGTTCATAATACGATTTACAATTCAATATATTTACCAAAGAACACCTTTTTTCATGCGGAAAGAAGCTTCAAGTTGAAAAAAGTAACCAGCATTTGTTCTTAGTTTATATTCCATGCCATTAACTAGTTTAAGCCACTAAAATTTTCCTCTGCGTTACATTATATAAAGGTTGTAGTGATGATTAAATGATTTTCCTGTTGTTTATTGTCATCTCAGTCAATGAATAGTATTTAATCTGGCTTAAATAAATTTTTTTTTTATTTTTTCCGTTTTTATCAAAGCTTTAAAAAATGAACTATTGTTAATATAACTTATTGATTACTTGTAAAATGTATTTCTGCGCAGGCATTGATCTTATACTAAGCACAGAGATTGTAAAGGCAGATCTTGCTTCTAAGATTCTTACTAGTGCCAGTGGAGTAGCCTTCACCTATGAAATTTTGATTATTGCTACAGGTTCTGCAGTAAGTGTTTTTTTTTTTTCTTAACCTTGAAGAACTACTATATATGTAAATTTCGATATAGTCAAATTTTTTTCCAATCCTTTGATGATACTAATGTTGTGAAAAACGACGGCAATAAAGTGAAAAATGGAACGAGAAAAATTGCATGCAGAAAAAACACTAGAGCGACACACAGATTTACGTAGTTCGACAAATTTTCCTACGTCTGCGGAGCTGCAGAGGATTTTACTACTTTGAGAAATTACACCGTCCTCTCTTCCTTAGAGGATTTTACTACTTCGAGAAATTACACCGTCGAGCGCCTTGATTACGAGAAAATCTTTATTTACTTCTCCCTTCCTCTCTCTCTCTCTCTTCCTCTCTTTCTCTTAGCTCTCAAGAGGACTTGGCTTGGTCTTGCTTGACTTTGCATTTCCTTTAAACCAAAAGTGACTATTTATTAGAAACCATGAGAGCGGTAGGTGAAAAGTAGGTAAGCGGTAGGTGGAATGTGGTAGGTGAGCGGTAGGTGGAATGTGGTAGGTGAGCAGTAGGTGGGTGTGGTGGGTGAGCAATTGTGGGTGTGGTAGGTGAGAGGTAGGTGAGATACTTAATTAAGAAGCTAATTAAATTCGGTGAACCGGGTCTCCACATTACCCAACAATTCTCGCACTTTGAGACTGGGACATTGAATGCATCACCTATTAGTTGCATCTTATACTAGCTGTACCGACCTTTTCCTCAAACATGATATCCTCCACCTCTGCAACTCGAAGCCCCTGTCTTCATGTCAGAAGACCAGCTGAAGTTGAGCACAACTTCAGCTTCTCACGAGTAACACCCTCAGATAACATATCACCGTCAACGTAGCCTCGTACCACCAAGCTCTTTCCTGGGTTACTCTTGTATCTGCTTACAACTCTCACTGCATGAGCAATATCCTGCCCCTGCTGAAAGCCCTTTTCAACAAGTTCAGCTTTGTACCTCTTACTGCCACCAAACACAGTTTTCACCCGATACACCCACTTGTTGTGCAATGTCTTCTTCCTTGGTGGAAGTTCTGTCAGCTCCCAAGTCTTATTTTCTGGAAGGGAATCTGTCTCCTCTTTCTTGGTCAGCTTCCACTTGTTCGAATTCTCATGTTGCAATATTTATTCATAACTCTGTAGTTCTCCACCATTTATCTGTACAAGGTCTGATTTTCCTGTCTTTGGCGCTCTACCACTTTTCAGGAAATTGACATTTTCTGCTTTCTCATAATGCACCTCAGACTCATGTGTCCACGCCTGAATAAACTTGTAGTAATATATAATGTGTCAGTTTTTTTACCCCAAGCCAGTACTAATGCTCCTTTGGTAACCTTTCAGGTGCTATTTGGAGAACACTACCGAATGACCACCCTCATTGAGCTGCCTAACAGAGATGAGGTTTTCTTCAACTCAGGAACGTGTCTGACCTTTTGCAAAGTTCATTTGCTCTTGTTAGGGAGTGCAATATCAACGTCTCTCATCCCCACCACGACTAGAGCTTTTCCATCAGCCAGATATATCTTCCCACAGTTACCTGTAACATAATTTTGCGTTAACTTCCGACGGGAAGATGTATGGAAGAAAGCCCCTGAATCTAGTTTCCAGTCATCAACAGAACTGTGAATTGTCAGTAAGAGCGCATCCTGTATTTCTTCAATTACAACATTAGTATCATCATTCTCGTTCTTCTTAGGATTCTTGCAGTTTCTTTTTTATGTGGTCAGCCTTGCCACAATTCCAGTAGGTTGTCTGCTGACCTGACCTTGATTTCGATCTTCCACGGTTTGGGTTTCTGTCTTGTGATCTTTCTTTGGATTCAACAATCAGTGCCGAACTCGAACCCGAGGTCTCGTCAGAATCTTTCCTGCGCACATGCTCAGTCAAAATCAAATCACGAATATTATCATATTTCAGCTTAAATTTGTCTGCAGAACTACTAACTGTCATCCTCATGACTTCCCAGCTATTTGGCAATGAAGCCAACAATATCAGCGCACATATCTCATCATCAAAATCAATTTCAACAGACGACAACTGATTTGTGATAGTATTGAAATCATTTAGGTGATGAGCAACAGACACACCTTCCGTCATCTTCAAGTTGAATAACTTTTTCATCAGATGCACCTTATTATTCGTTGGTGGCTTTTCATACATACCTGATAAAGTCGTCATGAGATCTGCAGTAGTCCTCTCCTTGATGACATTGCAACAACCAATCTCGACAGTGTTAATCTTATAACCCCCAGAACCTGTCGATCCAGCAAATTCCATTCTGCCTCGTCCATCTTTTCTGGTCGTTTTCCCAGTAACGGAAGATGAAGTTTCTTCCCATAGAGATAGTCCTCTATCTATATCCTCTAGTAAGGAAAATCTGTGTCATTGAACTTCTCGATCCCCGATGTCATCATTTCTTCTCCGCCCATCATTCTTCCTTAGCGAACCAAAGCTCTGATACCAGTTGTTGTGAAAAACGACGGCAATAAAACGAAAAATGGAACGAGAAAAATTGCACGCAGAAAAAACACCAGAGCGACACAGAGATTTATGTGGTTCGGCAAATTTACCTACGTCCACGGAGCTGCAGAGGATTTTACTACTTCGAGGAATTACACCGTCGAGCGTCTCGACTTTTATAAGAAAATATCTATTTTCTTCTTTTTCTTCCTATCTCTCTCTCTCTCTCTCTCTCTTCCTCTCTTTCTCTTAGCTCTCAAGAGAACTTTGCTTGACCTTGCTTGGCTTTGCATTTCCTTTAAACCAAAAGAGACTATTTATTTGAAACCATGAGAGCGGTAGGTGGGAGGTAGGTGAGCGGTAGGTTGGATGTGGTAGGTGAGCGGTAGGTGGGTGTGGTAGGTGAGCAATAGATGGGATACTTAATTAAGAAACTAATTAAATTCGGTGAATCGGGCCTCCACATTACCCAACAACTAATTTGATCAACTCTTCTAATAGATGCATTTTCTACTTTCATTGTGCATGTCCATACCATTCTTTAATTTATTCTTTCTAGTTTTGACATAATTTCTAGTTTTTTTTTTTTACATCCCAACTTTCAAATCCGTATAATATTTTTAGGCTGATTGCAATTTTATTAAATTTGCCTTTCCGTGTTAATGATATCATATTATCACGCAACATAACATATTTTCGAAACATTACTTAATATATTCCTTAGCATGATAGCTTCAAGCTACCTTAGCATATTTTTCTTAGATGTTGCCTCATCTTCTAATGAGATTGAATGATAATTATTAACATTATAGTCGCAACATTTATATACCATTTACTTAATCATTTTTCTATTAATTCTATGACCAGACCGCTATCTTTTAATCATTTTCTCTATTTTTGTTAATTTTTACTTGTTTTTTTTTCTAACTATCATATTATTTACAATATATCATCTATTAAAAAACATACATCAAAGCTCTTAGCTTTGGATATCTTTTGTAAGCATCTCCTTAGTTAATAAAAGAAAAAGAAAAACACTCCCATGTTGATTGCTGATATATACCTATGAAATCTAAAAACTGTAGAGTGACTAGAAAAAATACATTATTAATTATTAATGAGTTCTCTGTCATGCACCTTTTTAATAAAAAAAAAATTATTTTTATGCATATTTTCTTGCTTTTTAGCACTCCAAATCAGTTCATGTGCTATTTGATTATATGGCATTAAGATCAACAAAATCAATTCTTTCTTTAGTTTTTTATTATTTTTTATTAATTATCTTAATACAAAAAATTACTTTCATGATAGATTTTTTTAACATAAAAAGAATTGGTTCATATAATATTTTCTTATTCAGTTAGCTGTTATATTTTTTGTGCAAATCAAATCAATTCAGTTAGATGTTATATTTTTTCCTTGTATTTTTTGTGTTAATATTTTCTTGCGCATTTACATACAACATACTACCCAATTTCTATGTATTTACATATCTAACACCTAAACTCTACTTTTTACATTTATAACACTTTAATCTTTTATATCACATCAAAACTACCACTATTTTAACTTTTAAGATGTAAAATAAGTCTTTTCATGCTTAGGTAAGGTGGCATATAAACGAAGGGGCATTTACATACATGCCACCCTGTATATTTACAAGTCTAGCATCTAACTTTAATTTTTACATTTATACCACCCAAATCTTTCATATCACATAAAAAAGAGACCATTTCAATCTCTAGAGAAGGCATAGGTAAGATGGCATGTTTATAAAAATTGAAGTTTAGCTGTTAGATATGCAAATACATAAGAATTGAGTGTTATGTATGTAAATCTTCCATAAATTAAAGTTTAGGTATTATATATGTAAATACACAGTAACTAATGGTATATATGTAAATCTTCCTATTTTCTTAATCTTGCATTATTGTGATTGTGCAGGCTATAAAATTATCTGATTTTGGTGTCCAAGGTGCAAATGCTAATAATATTTTCTACTTGAGAGAGATTGAAGATGCTGATAAACTTGTAGAAGCAATCCAATCTAAAAGGAATGGAAAGGCTGTGATTGTTGGTGGTGGATATATTGGCCTCGAAGTTAGTGCAGCAATGAGAATCAACAACTTCACTGTCACAATGGTTTACCCTGATCCTTGGTGCAGTTGAGTATCATTTTTCTGCTCAAATCTCATTAAGGTTATTTAGTAGGATCATTTACATACATACCACCCAAATAAAATGTATTTACATACATATATATATCTAACACAGAAAATTTAATTTTTACATTTATACCATCCATATCTTTTATATCACGTCAAAAATACTAACATTTTAACTGTTAAAAAGTGTTATGTAAGAATTGAAGCTTAAGTGGTGTATATGTAAATACATAAAAATTGAGTGGTATGCATGCATATGATCTGGGTTACTCTATTTTTTGCTTCAGCTCCTGTTACTTGTGCATCAGTTGAACTTAAACCATTTTGCTGTATGTCAACCTTCACAATGAGAAAGACTTCTGATTATATATATATTTTTTAATGACGTTTCAAAATAATTCTTATGTGTTTAAACATCTAACAGTCAAACTTTACTTTTTACATTTATACCATCCGAATCTTTCATATCACAATAAAAATTATCAATATTTTAACTTTTAAAAGGTGAAATGCACCTTTTCATGCATAGATATGACGACATATAAGTAAAAATTAAAATTTAGCTGTTAGATATGTAAATAGGTATTAAGCCGTATCGTATGTATGTAAATCTTGCTTAGAAAATTTTATTGTTTTTATCTAGCCTTAATTTTTTAAAAATTTATAAAGAATGGGGCGTCATGTTATATTTTTATGATGGGAATTAGAGTCGCATTTCATTGCCTTTTCAGTGCCTCGTCTTTTTACTGCTGAAATTGCTGCATTCTATGAGGCCTATTATGTTAGCAAAGGAGTAAAGATCATCAAAGGTACAGTAGCCGTTGGTTTCGACATCAATTCTGATGAGGACGTAAGTTATTATTATTTTTATTTTTACCCAATTCTTATGTATTTACATTTCTAACACCTAAACTTTACTTTTTATATTTATACCACCTCCTAAATCTTTCATATCGCATCTGAAGCATCACTATTTTTGACTTTTTAAGAGTGGAATACAACTTTTCATGCATTGGTAAGTTGGCATTTATGTAAAAATTAGAGTTTAGTTGTTAGATATGTAAATACATAAGAATTGAGTGGCATGCATGTAAATCTTCTATCTGTTTTATTGAAAATATTACCAAAATCAGGTGAAATCAGTCAAGCTGAAAGATGGAAGAGTGCTTGACGCTGATATTGTTGTTGTGGGCGTTGGCGGAAGACCTCTTACAACGCTTTTTAAAGGTCAGGTAGAAGAGGAGAAAGGAGGAATAAAGGTCATCTCAGCTCCTTCTATAACTTCTATTGCTGCTGCTACTTCAGCATTGACTCTCTCTGTGCCTTTTTTTTTTTTTTTTTTTTTTTTTTTTTTGAGGTGAGAATTTACATGTTTAACATTTTAACTTCACTATCTGCATCTTCTAGCACTCTATCCCCCATATTCTTTTCTGACATTAATGTAGGGAAGGTTAACATCGTAGCTTATACTGCGATATAAAATTATAATGGTTTGATTTTGTGTGTTCTGTATGTAAATGTTCCTTTTTTCATCTTCATAATCTATCTATCTATTTATTTAAAAATTATTATTATTATTATTATTTTGGGATAATTACATACAGACCACCCGAAACATTGACATTTACAAATTAACCACCCAGGTGATTTATTTTTAACTACCAAACCATTGTATTTACGCGTCCCAAGATCAAACTACTGAGAATTTGATAAAATGAAAAGTGTGCCATGAATTTTGATATTTGAATGAGAATTTGAAAAATGTATGAAAGAGATTGGTTGGTTTGTAAATAACAAGTTTCGGGTGGTCTACACGTAATTGCTCCTTTTTTTTTTTTTGTGGATGCTAAAATTTAATTAGTATTTATGGCTCTCTGTAGACTGATGGTTATTTCAAAACAAGTGTTCCCAATGTGTATGCTGTTGGAGATGTGGCCACATTCCCATTGAAGCTGTACAGAGAAATGAGGAGGGTGGAGCATGTTGACCATGCAAGAAAATCTGCAGAGCAAGCTGTGAAGGTATTACATACCATTCTTATAAATTTTTTTCAGGCTATATGATCATCTAAATTTGGTCAGAATAAGTTTACTGGTCATTGATTTTACTTAGAATTGGATGCGACATTTACTAATCAAATAACTATTTAATTGCTTTCACCTTGAATAAAAATCAGTGGCTAGAAATTCCATCTTGATCCAATAAGAATTGCTTTGATACAAGATTAATAATCAAACAGGTCTTGTATTGCACCCATCTTAAAGTAAAATCAATGACTTTAAAATGCATCTTGAATCAAATTTAGAAGGTGCATTTACTTTTTAAAAGTTAAAAGTGATGATATTTTTTGATGTGATATGAAAGATTCGGGTATTATAAATATAAAAAGTAAATTTTTAGGTGCTAGATATGTAAAAACATAGAAGAAAAGTATCAAAATGGTCCTTTGACTATTCATAAAGGAGGTCATTTTAGTTTCGGCTTTAAAAAAGTGTCAAATTAGTGAAAAATTATTCCATACGAATGCATGCGATGTCTGATCTCCACCGTTGATCACAGTGAAGATGTATATCTCCACCGTTGATCACATTGAAGATGTATTTTGGTTGGCCGCATTTAAATTTTCTTTTTTTTTTAAGAAAAACGATGTTATCAACGGTGGAGATCGGATACTGCATGCATTTTTGTATGCGGGGTGTCCGTATGGAATAATTTTTCAAAATTAGTTCCCAACGAGTGAAAAGAAGGTTGGAATAGTCCGCCCTTAAAAAAAAATCAGAAATTCATGTTTTCACGGACGTGTATTTTGGAATTTTTATATTTTGTTAATTTAACTACTTACATACAATCATCTATGCACGCCGTATAATGGTACATTTACATACATACCACTCAATCCTTATGTATTTACGTATGTATGGAACTTCCCCTTTGTTTTAAGACCAATCAGTCAACTATTATATTCCATTCATCCCTTTTTTTTAGGCCGATTTACATACAAACCACACAATTCTTATATATTTACATATATGACATGTAAACCTAACTTTTTTACATTTATAACACCTAAATCTTAGAGATGCATATTTTGATGCCTAGGCAAGGTGACATACATGTAATAATTGATGTTTATACATAGAAATTGAGTGGTATATATGTAAAAATCACCAATATCATATAATGCACGTATCTCTCACAATTCAGGCAATCAAATCCACAGAAGCAAGCAAAACATTGGAGGAATATGACTACCTACCATACTTCTACTCTCGTTCATTCGATCTATCATGGCAATTCTACGGCGATAACACCGGCGAAACTGTTCTATTCGGCAACAGTAATCCAACTTCTCCAAACCCAAAATTTGGTTCTTATTGGATCAAAGATGGTAAGGTGGTTGGAGCCTTCCTGGAATCTGGCACTCCTGAAGAGAACAATGCAATGTCTAGGGTTGCTAGTGTTCAGCCATCAGTGCTGGATCTGGAGCGGCTTCAGACACAAGGTTTGCATTTTGCCTTTCATATTTGAATTAATCTTTATCTTTATTTCAATCCACTCTCTTATATTAACTTATATTCATCTGAATTGCTTTCAATCATGTATTTATTTTTGGGGGATTTACATAGAAATGTAAAAAAGTAAAATTTAGGTGTTAGATATGTAAATACATAACAATTGTATGGTATGTATGCAAATACTGCTTTATTTCTTCACTTATCACGAACTATCACCAGAACAAGCAGCATTAAAGAACAATACTCAGTGCCACAAAGGGTCTATTTAGGTCAGTTTGTGCATTTTAAGATAAACAGCCTATCCTTAAACGTGACCTACCCGGCAGACAACGTTTTCAAAAACACGCAAACCAAACGATTAGATAGTATTTTCAAAAATGTCGCCGCACTTATAAGCTACCCCAAACGGGCCGAGGAATTTACATAAACATTTGCATATATAACCCTTAAAACTGACTCAATTTGAAATCGAACAAAGATATATCATTATTATAGCCATATAAAAGATATGATATTCACAACTGATTCTCTATTCACCTAAATAAAACATTACAATTTAATGAATTTTAAAAGCCTATATGATGAACGATACAAAGAAGATTTACATATATGCCGTCTTACATATGCATGAAAGGTGTATTTAAAAGATTAGGATGGTATGAATGTAAAAATAAATAAATAAATAAAATTTAAAAGTTAGACATGTAAACACATGGCGATTGGGTTGTACATATGTGAATGCCCCTAGAAGGAATAGCGGTAAGATTTATCAAATATATGCAACTTATTTATAAAATACATAATCTTTTTATTAAAAAACAAGTAGCAATCATTACAACAACAACATATATTAGCACATCTCCCATGGCAAATGAACGGCTAGATTTCTTCAATCATGGGCTTCATGAGTTGGTTTTTTATGAAGGTGAGGATATTAGGGACATCAGCAGTCCATGCAACTGATATGGGTGAATGATCTGACCAAGGATTGGGCCCATTCCAACTGTTCCACAAAAATCACAGCCAATAAACAAATTAAATAATAATAATAAAAGAAATAAAAAGGATGAAAAATAGTAGGCCGTTTGAATTTTTTTATTATTTATTTTTTTTTTATTATATGATTTTTTTTTTCTTTTATTTTTAGTTTTTCAAAATAATTTATTTATTTTTAAAATGTTTTCAGCATTTTTGAAAATAACATATTTTAAACATGACAAATATGTTTCATTTGAAATTAAAATATAAAAAAATAAATTACAGGAAGATTTACATACATGCGTCAACTTCATTTTTGTATTTTAAACGTGGACTATATATATATATATATCTAACGCGTATTTTCTGTCTGGAAACCTGACGTACATCTACGTGCGGTGCAGGTTATTCCTGAGTTATTTTCAGGTTATTTCTGTGTTATTTTCAATAATCCCAAAATAACCCAAAAATAAAAACCGCAGGTTATTTTTGGATTATTTCGGAATTATTGAAAATAACTCAAAAATAACCTAAAAATAACTCAGGTATACCCCACGTCACACGTAAAGCTACGTCAGGAGTCCTCACAGAAAAAAATTTTATATATCTAACGCCTAAATTTCAATTTTTACAAACATGACACCTCACATATGCATGAAAATGTGCATTTTTTTTTTCCAAAAATTAAAACGATGATATTTTTTAAAAGAGGGGTTAAAACTTAGATGTTATATATGTATGAATGCATAGGAATTGGGAGTTATGTAAAAACCCCTAAAATTAAAAGAAAAAAATTACATACATGCCACAGAATTCTTATGTATTTATATCTAACATTTAAAATTTTATATTTACATTTATAGCACTTCGGTCATAAACTTATACATAAAAAACATACTTCATTTTTAATTTTGTAAAAACATTTTTGATCTGACAAAAGATTGAGTGCTATGCATGTAAATATAAAAATATACATATCAAATATATAAACACACAAAAATTGTGAGGTATGTAAGTAAATGCCTCAAATAAAAAATGAATCTAGCTAGAGCCATGCCAAACTCAAGCCCAACTCGTCTGGCAAACGGTGAGTTCGAGCTTGAATGGCGAACTCGAGCTACGTTCACGAGCTAGAATTAAAAACTTAATTTTTTCGGTAGCTCGCCGAAGAATGTATTGGCGGCCGGAGGAGGCAGCAGGAGCTCGCCGAAATGACAAGCCGGCTTGATAGCCAATGAGCGGAGTCGAGACGAGCTCGAGCTCGAACCGGCTCGGCTCATTCGCCCCCTATTCCAGAGAGTGCCCTTAAGCCAATAAAGTTAAAAGTCACATACTTTTTTAATCCCTGGTCCATTAGTGTATGTCCCACACAGATGCCCTGAGTCTCAACCCTCACCACACCCTTCCTGAACGTGAACAGATCAGGACGAACAAGTGCAACAAAACTAACAGGATCATGTAGAAAAATGCCTGAAAAATAAAAAAAAAAACAAAAATTTGTCATAAATAAAGCCATCCAAAATCCACCTCAACAAGCAAAAATGTAACTAAAAAAAAAATTGAAGTCATTTTTACCATGGAGGCCATCAGATTTTACATGCCAGTCCCTGTAGAACTTGCACATTTCACAGATTAATTTTGCATGCTTTCCCTTCGAATATCTCAACTCAGAAAGGTCAGCATCTGATCAAAGAAAAAAAGGCATATTAATAGTAAAAATGGGTAATTTGTATATATACAACTCTTGAAATGACTCGAAAAAAAAATTATATAACTTTTTATATAACAATATATTACATATATTATTTATATAATAATATATTATATATATTTAGGCCTAAGTTTAAATCATAACACCTTATGTAGCAATGTGGTTAGTGTATATTTGATCCAGGTTCGAATCCCACACTTTACCTCTATTTTTCTCAATTTTAGTCTAACGAGCCAATTTCGAGCCGAACACGAACACACTGTTCACGAGCTGATTTCGAACACGAGCCGATTTCGAACACGAGCTATTTACAGCCCTATGTACAACACAATTCTTATGTGTTTACATATCTAAACCCAAAAGTTTCATATTTACACTCACAAAACCTTGGTGTCATAAACCTATGCCTCAAAATGGTATTTTTTATATAAATATGAAGGTTTAGGTGTTAAATATGTAAATACATAAGAATTGTGTGGAATGTCTGTAAATGCCCATTACATGCAGATCAGTCCACCCGAAACTTGTTATTTACAAATCGATCACGCCCTTTCATCTATATTTCAAATCCTCGCTCAAATATTAAAATTCATGATAAATTCCCAGCTCTTATTTTCATTTTTTATCAAATTATCAATAATTTGAACTTTGGTAGCTCAAAAGAATCACCTGGGTGGTTAATTTGTAGATATCATTGTTTCGGGTGGTCGGTATGTAATTATCCCAAAATACAAAATGGAAGGAATGAGGGGAAAACCAAAAATGTGGACCTGTGAAGGCGACTTGAGTGGTGATGTTGATGCCCACAACAGTTATTTCAGCTCCACTGGTGAAGAGAATGTCAGCTGCTTCTGGATCACCATAGATCTGTAAGATTAGCATTTGATGAAACAAATTAGTAGGTCATATTATTTTTAGATGTTTGTTATAATTAAAATATGAAAAGTTTAGGTGTTAGATATGTAAATACATAAAGAATTTTGTGGTGTGTCCGTAAATTTCCCAACATAAAAGCAATAAGTAGAATAAATAATAGCCAGGACAAATTATCCATATATGTCTCTCCAAATCTAACTTGAAATGGGAGTCCAATGTTCAAAATTGTTAGGGAAAAAGCGTGTGCCCGAGAACGATGCCGCCGAACATGTGAATGGCGAGGTTTTTCTGAACATAATAGGGGAATTTACATATTTACCGCACAATTCTTATGCATTTGCATATCTAACACCTATTTCATATTTACATGTAATAAACATCGCATAAAAAATATCACATGTAAAGACTTAAGGCACCAAATTATTATAAATGTAAATATGATAGGTTTAAGTGTCAATACGCGTAAATACATAAGAATTGTGGGGTATGTATGTAAATTTCCCAACATAAAAGCACCAAGTAGAATAAATAATACCCAAGAAATAGACATGGAATTATCCAAATATTTGGGAATAGTTGGGCTACCTCCTTTTAGGCATCAAATTTATCCAGCAGAGATGCAAGGCTAACATTCGAAATGGTTGGGGAAAAGTGCTTGCCCGAAAACAATGCCGATCACGAGAATACGACAACAGCAGCAACAACAAGCCTTTATCCCACTAAGTGGGGTTGGCTACATGAATCCATTTTCTCTATTGGTCCTATTGAGTGTCATATTTTCATTAAACTCTAATAAATTAAGATCATTTTTTGTACAACATGTCGATCAAGTGAATGCAAAAAAAAAAAAAAACAAAAAAGTAGGAAGAGTACCAAGAAAAGAACATGATAAAATTGCTTCGGTCAGATCCATCTAAGCCAATGATTGAACAAGGAGATAAAGCCTACTTGTCTAAAAAAAAAAATATTACATAAACATTTAACTTCAAATATTTTTCTTATTTTTATCTCACTAATGCTCTTCAATCTCCCTCCCTCCCATATTCTCTTTCCAAATCTTAGCATAGTTATGTTCATTGAAGATAAAGTCTACCGCTTCATATGTCAAACCGCCACATCAATCAACACTCCCTTAAGCTTGTCATTGATTTCCTCCTAAGAAAGCCTCTAATTTCAACTCTCACATCCAACCTTTTAGTAGCCATTGTCGACCACCCGACAAAAAAAAATACACTGTGTATAGCACCAACTAAAATAACCACTAACCTCTAATCACTATATTGGTCATTTCGTCAACCTCCACCCCTGCATTTGGCTGAATATAGAAAAAGAATGAGTGATCCCATTCAACAAATTACGACCATGTACTTATATAATGCATAAAGTGGTTTGTATGAAAGATCAAGTGTGAATAGAATCTTGAATTTGACTTCGAAATTGAAACCGAATTCGGTCCAAATCTTATCAAAGATTCTATGAATTTGCCCGATGCATTATAGAATAATCATTTGTTTATAGGGTGGAATGAGCAAGTACCTATGATGCACTGACACTTCATTATAAAAACGCATTCAGTGACCAACACGTGCCGGATATGGACAAATGTGCAACACAGGTCACAGGTCCAATAGACACGCCTGTCACATATCCAAATTAGAAAATAAAAATAAAATAAATTTCAGACATTTATGTCGAATACATGCATCATGAATGATTAAGTTTAAATATAATAGATACTAACAAAATGTATTATAGAATATTAAATTTTGATAAGTTATATTGCCTCAAACGTGTTTATTTTGTAGAGTTTATTTATTTATAATTTTTTTTATTATACTTAATAATTTTTCACAATTTTTTTTCTTAGCTCAATGTCAAGATACGATATTTTTTTTTTTTTAAATTCATTCTTAAATAATATTTTTTTTTCCATTTTTATAATGATAGAACTCTTTTGACTAATTTCATCCTTACATAATTTATGTGATTACTATAAATTATTCTAAAATTTATAAAATATATAATTACATTAATTATAATATCATGTCAAAAGCATGTCCATACCGATGCCTCCAAGATCAATAAATTATAGAAATTCATAACTTCGCTAAGAGCCAAATAATCACAAATAATACCCAAAGGGAAGAAGTACTAATTAACCTAAAACGCTTTTTTTTTTCCAATTATTTTGAACTTTTGGCTAGTCCTATTTATCTCATTATATGCACTATTCATATGCATTAATGAAGATACTAAGCATTTATTGTAAGCACTTCTTCAACAAATAAGTGAAAATTTTAAGAAGAAAAGCCACAAATGTAGCTCTAGCCAAATAAAATTCCATAACATAGTGATTTGAAAGACAAATTGGTTCAAGATAAGGGAAGAATTCGACTTTACATTTGCTTCCGCAGCAGGATTAACATTGCCGGCAGATAAAAATGCCCCGCCAAGCACAACGATCCTCTTAATCTTGCTAGGAAATGAAGAATCACTTTTTATAGCCTGCAAATAAAATTACAAAAAAAAATTAAAAAAAAAGGATTAAAGCACCATATGCTTGTAAATAAAATAAAAATAAGAATAATTTGAGGAAAAAAAAAAGTTTAACATTAATTGCAGAAAGAAATTTGGGGCATTTACATACATACCATCCCATTCCTATGTATTTAGATATCTAACACCTAAACTTTACCTTTTTTTTACATTTCTACTAACCAAGATGTTATGTATGTAAATAAATGGGAATTCAGGGGTATGCATGTAAATCTTATTTAAAAAAAAATAAAAATTGTAGCTGCTTACCAATGCTAGGTTTGTTAAAGGTCCCAATGCAAGTATAGATACTTCACCAGGATACTGATTGGCCTTGTCGATAAGGAACTCAGAAGCAGTTCTCTCGGTCTTCTTACCTGATGGGGGTGGCAGCCCTATTTCTCCCAAGCCATCAGACCCATGAACAAAATCAGCAATGCGTGGCTCTCCGCCCTTTGCAAAGAAAGCACTTTTTGTTTAGAAGAATTTGCATATATATAGAATAATAAAGATTATTTAAAAATTCAACATTAAATCATGGAAACCTTTAATGACACAAGATTATGATGAAATCCCTAGTAATATATGATTGCACGTTTCCATACGGTGTCGAGTTCAAGTTGGTCCCGAGTTTTCTATAACATTTACTATCTTCGTTCTAGCACGAACGGATCTTCCAGTTCAATGTTTTCTAGATTTGAAATTTCTTTGGCAATAGTCCTTGATCTATCTTTGTGTAATACACCGATTCAATGAAAATGCTATTAATGCTCTTACGGTTTGTTTGAGATCACTTTTTTTTTGCATTTATTTTTAAAAAAAAATTGTTTAGTATGATAAGAGTTTAATTTTTATTTTCAAAATTAAATTAACTTGCTTTTAAAAATAATTAAAAAAATCTAAAATTTTTTTTTTGAATATTTTTAAAAACAACTATGTTATAACATGCCAAACATGTTTTATTTCAAGTTAAAATATAAACAAACCACAACAAAATAAAAAATTAAAAGTGATCCCAAATGGCCACTTAATAATTCATATACTTGCTATGTCCCAAAATTTATAATCAAATTTATCTCCACAAATATATTTAACACTTTTTTGATTTGAGATCAAAATCATCTCTGGCAATCTAGTCAACATAACATTCAAATGTTACAAGCATACCTCATTGCATGTCCTGGAACCTGAAAGCCAAAATTTGAGTGCAAATAATGTATGTGTGTTGACCAAATATGTTTCTATGTTCATTGCATCCACTTTGAAGACTTAAAGGATACATATATGCTTTCATTAACATGTTTCTATGGCCTTCCATATGCATGCTTTCACTAACTTAACCTAACCTAGCAAGTCTTAGGTCACCCCTAACCTAGTAAGCTCTAGATAAACCCACCGTCTTCCAAGTCTAACAAGTCATTAAACTCACCCATTTCAACGCAGAAATCAAATTGTTCTCGTGAACATAATTTTTCTTGTACATTGGTCTCAGATAAACCCTAGGGTATGCAAAGATGATCCTACTAAATCTAAAGTAGAGCTTAACGCATATCAAATCTGATTGAACCATTAATCAGCTTAGTCAAATTAACTTTAGAGCTCAATGAGCTAAACCTTGATGGACTATCTTATCTAGTTTAGCAAGACCATCACCCCTGCCCAAACAAATTGGTCAGGCCTTGTGGTTGGACCATGAAGGAGCAAAACATTGACGGTCTCGAATGTCAAAAGCCCTCTCTGCTCACTCACCCCCTCATAGGAACGCCCAATGTGCAGGGTGTGCGCTCGCCCGTCCTCTCCTGCTCACAAGACCCACATTTCCCTTAAGTTTGCACTTGGCTCGTGCTCTTGTCGCTTAGACAACAGTGGCTGATTGACGATCCTCACTCGTTTGCATTCATGGCCCATGGCAGTGACTTTCCCTCGTGTGCTTCTATTTGCTTGTCAGTAAGCCACAACCATTTACTTGTAGTTCTTCGTGGAAGACCCTTCTTGGCCGCTTTCTTTGAAGCCTTATGGTGTCAACATTCATCTCTTGTTTGAGTCCTCCCCATGCTCCGACCCCTTCTCCCACTTCATGAATGATGTCTCAGCCAATTTAATTTTTTAATTGTTCCCTATCTCCTATTGCTCATATTTTCCCGTTCGCAATCTCTCGTTGGCATATTTGCTCCATCTTTGCTAATTCAATATTGTTAGAGTTTAAGCTCTACATCACCATTCCCTTCGCAAACTCCACATCCCACCTCAATTGTAGTCCCTCATGGCTTGGCCCCAGTTATTTCACTAAGTCACCATTATTTCAATTATAATTTCTCATGTTACAAGCATTCCATAGTTTTTGGAGACTGAAGGCTGCAACATCTCAGCAACAACTTTATCTACTCAATTTCCTTTCTTCTTTAAGCAAGGATCAAACCCTCCTCAACACAAGCAATTCTCAACTTTTCGAGGTGAACATAAACTTATTCTCATTGAAGCTATGTGTTTGATCTTGTTATTCCAATATCCTTTTCTATTGGAGACAAATACTCTTTCGAGCATCCCAACCTGAGATTATGCATACATTTATGTCAAATTTGCATTTGCTTGGTGATTACTGCATTGGCTTTTTCATTCTCAACATTATTAACACATAATCTATTGAAGGAGATAACTCTGGTCTATTTCAAAAAAATCTATATTATATTCTTTTGGGTTATCTTTGGCGAATTGTTGCAAGTAGATGTTGCTAACGCTTGTCTTTTTAGACATTCTTTGACAAAGTTTTTGGTAGAAGCAAACGTTAATATGCCTCTGTGTTAAGGAGATTTCATTGGAGTTTTTTGGTGGTTATTGACAAAAGTTTGAATTAAAAAGCATTCCGGCTTGCTGCCCTTGCAAAATTATTTGGCACCCCCACTTCGAATATTTCAAGGCTTTCACGAAATTGAAAATATTATTTGATATTGATCCATGCATAAAAAAAAAGGAAATCATACAAATAATACAAAATCAATATTCACACGTATCAATACAGTTCCACTTACTTCAGTTCAAGAGTGTACACAAAATTAAAACAAACACAAGATTGTATTATGATATGAAAGGCTTCAGAGCCACCTCTTACTTTATTAAATCCAGAGATGCCTAATATAATCTTATCTGCATCCAAGGACATTGATTCAAATCCTCCATATTAGTTAGCCCCTCATCTTCTTCCTATTTTTAGGAATGTTGAAGCCCCAAATTCAAAGCAATTTTATGATTCAAATGGTAGTTTGCAAAATGCAAATGCCCGAGTTAATACAAGTCTATGGTGTGCACTTCAAATGAGGACTTTCCAAGTATCTCAGTGCCTTTTAGATGGATATCTATCTCTCATATCATCATGTTATATTTAATTATGTTTTTATGTTATATACTTCCATCAATCAATTCCTTCTAAGCAGTTCATATTATAATCATCTCATTATTTGGTATAAAATTATGTTTAAGAAAACCTAGCTTACTCGAGTCAAATGGCCGCTATTGGCCCATAACTTAGCTTAAGACTCGTCACCCTTCAGTGTCGGATGACACTACTTAATCTAGCCATATACCTAATCAGCTAGACAAGTCTAATTTGGCCTAGGTTGGCCCAATTAGGCCCTTTCCCAACATTAGCAAGACTAAGCAAAAACTGCGACACAAGTTCCATAAGAAGTTTGGAAAGACTATAACTATGACAACAAATATGTCATTGCTAATTCAGATTGTTTAACATTTTCAAAATTTGAAAACTATATATATGTCCAAAGTCCCCAATGCCTCAACCATTGAATCTCTTAAGCATGCTATTGTCTGCACAAGATTAGATATTAGACAAGAAAATAAGATACTAAATGCATGTCCAATTCTTGAAAAGAACACTGGGAAGTTGTAAAACAAACATCGCACTATTTAAAAAGTATAATAAATCATTCCCCTGACTTTAAAAGAACTGGCATAAAATTGTATGGCTGCATTGATATCAATCTAAGAGAAGACCTGAAGGGAAAACAACATCAACGGTACCTACACGTCAGGTGCAGCGCTATCAATCAGGTGCATAATTTTAAGAAATAGCTGCATTATCAATTATGGAAGTTGAATATATAGCTATAAATAAAGCCCTACAAGAGAATAGTTTCAATTAAAATCTTCCTTAAAGAACTAAGAAGACATTAACTCCTTTGTGATAACCAAAGTATCATGAACTTACAAAAAATATTTTTTAAATCCAGGACAAAACCATATATCTACGAATTGTTGAATGAAATGATCCTCCAATTGAGTGAAGATAAATATCCTACAGAATGAAAACTCTATTTCGATGGCATCAATACAACATGTCAAACTCTTACACAACAGTATGAATTGGGATCGGCTTCATATTCATCACACCACAGGGAGATATAGTTTGACATTCTTATGGCTAATCAAAATATCGCATAAATAATGAAGCTGAATGCAAGGCTTTTTAATAGCAGATCTTAAGCTCTTAATTAGTATGAAAATTTCAAAACTCCGCATATATGGAGATACTCAAATTATAATCAAACAACTAGTGGGTGATTTTAAAATTAGAAAACTAGAATTAGCCATATATCATAAATATGCTCTACAACTTCTACAACAAATCCGAAATGTAACCCTCACAAGTGTTGCACATAACAAGAATGATAAAATTGATCCACTAGAAAGGTTAGCCAAGGAGAAGGCCAATCCTCGATTTACACTTTTCCTATAATTTCACAACAAATTTTATTGACAAATCCAGTCATCCCAAATTGATCTTGAGGGCTTGTGCTAGGAGTTTGAACCAGCGAACACAAGAAAGCATACCACATGTTTGTGCCCAAATGATGCCTCTTTGACATTTAAATTTGCAAATCTCCATATGAATATATAAAGGAAATGGAGTAAGCTTATGAGTGCTATATATCAAATGAAAGAAAAATATTTGTCGAATATCCTTTAAAGAAGATGGTTGAAACAATATAGTCCTATATATTGAATTCTCTTTTATAATAATCACCCGCTAAGTAATCGATTTTGTATTATATACTGAGCTTACCGCTCACATCAAAATTATATAATTATTTTTCAGGCATGACTTCAGAGAATAATTTGAGTGAAGCTGAGAATATAGAAACTGAATAACAACCTGAAGAAAGTGTTAGTTATAATTGAATGAATAATGGAATCATGTAAATGAATGCATAAACTGCTAAAACGGTGAGATTATGTTAAGTCGGGCCGTGAATAACACCTGCATCATAAAAGGTTCATCAGCCCCATGTGGGAATGGAACCAAATAGAATATATTTTTGATATATGGGAGTGTCTTACTTGGTCAAAGCTATAAAACCGAACCGAACCAAATATGTTTAGTTAATTCGGTTTAGTTTCAAAAAATGAATTCTGCTTTTTTTTTTGTTCTCAATATTCAGTTTTCAGTTATTGATTAGATTTTAATTTTTATTTAACCAAACAATCCAAAAAAACAAAATCAAATGCAGTATTCATGAAATTAAATTGATAATATACAAGTAAGATGTGTAAATCTTGATGTTTGCCATTACCAAACTCCAACTGACGAATACACTTTGGTTTGTTCATAATCAAACCATTTAAACCTAATTAAATTTTGATTCAGCTGGTTCGAATTTATCAAAACTTTAATTGGTTCGGTATTTGGATTTCGGTTGCAATCAATAAAATCTAATACTTAAACTGAAAAATGATATTTCTAGAAGTAATTTTTCAGTGTTGAAAAGATAGAACATGGTTTTACTTGAGGTAAATATTGTTGTAATGATGACCATACCTTTAGAGGTTCGTGAGCACCTTCAGCAACTGGAACATCAGAACGACCTGCAACCTCACACTACCTTGTACAAAATATGAAGAACAATGAAAGATAAATGTCTATCAAGAAAATTTATAAAAACACAAAAAAAATTCAAAACTATTGAATGTTGACTTCAACATGCATAAATAAGCTTCCTAATGTGGACTAATATATTACATACCAGAAGTAAAGCATTCCTAGTAGCATCCACTGTACTAACATTGCCAAATATAGTTGTAAGACCAATAACATCAATCTCCGGGGTCTGAAATGCCATTAAGATGGTCATACTGTCATCTGTAAATGAGTGATACAAAGAAATAATATTCTTACAATGTCAAAGATAATTGACTCATTTAGTATTTTGAAAAGAAACTAGACATGAAATAACATATCAAACATATTTTATTTCAAGTAAGAAAAAACAAAATAAAAAAATAAAAGATAAAAACAAAAAGTGATCCCAAACAACCCCTAAGCTTTCTTAGAAACGGGTAGTTATTGACCATCGATTTATGCATTCAACAGCAAATATCTATCAATTACAATTCTTGTTCCTATTGTTACTCAATTCATTACTTAATAGCAACTCTACTCGACTCCGTCTATTAATTTTGTAGACAAATCATTTCCCTTTAGTCTTCCACTAATATTTTTTATACTTGCTGATTTCCTATCTCACAATAATCTACTATGCATGGTTAGATGAAAACAATAGTAAATAGTAAAATATTTTTTTTTTTTTTTTTTTTTTTTTTTGTGCACCCACAATCATTTTGGTCAAGTTGATGAGGTCCTCAAGAGATCCCAATACTACCCAAAACAGAATGGCATAAAATGCCCATGATCTAGAACTTACTCGGATCTCAAAATTAATCCACTGAACTCGTCAAAGAGTCACAAATTGATCATTTGAAAAGGCTAATTGCCTAAACAAATCAGCCAACTGCCTTGAGTAGCTGAATGAACTTGCCAAGGAGTACATCACATCACAATGGTCTTCGTAACTCCCTATGTAATAAGCACCAAATATCTACTAGTGATAGAAAGATATGTTGTTCACTCAGCTCACATACAAGGGCTATAAGGCAAGTTCAAATTTGAGATCAGTCTTAGTGTATGCGATATCCTTATTTATTATTAATATGAGGGAAGATCGACGGATATGAACTCTCCTCAATATAATATCAGAAGAGATCTAAAGAAATATTATTCTTAATATACGGTAAAGAGAATGAATCCTCAATATAATGTGAAAAAATGTCAATAAATGTGGGCTCAATCTAGATTTGAAGAGAATCAATAAATTATAACTCTTCTCAATATAGTGTGTGCATAGATAGATTCATAGTTCATCCAATATTGTGTGAGAGAAATCAAAAGATGACAACTTTCCCAATATTATGTGGAGATAGTGAAAGATAATTTCTCTCAAATATAAGGTAATAAAATCACGGCATGTAGACTCTCATTACATAGTTTGACGAAAAATCTTTAAAAAAAATTATCTTCACTATAGTATAAGGAGAAGCAAGAGATAATTTCCCTTAATATAGTGTGAGAAAAATCAATAGATCTGGACTCTCCTCAATGTGATGTGAGAAAGAGTCCCAAAATAAATGATTCTTCTCAATATAGAGTGAGAAGAATCTAAAAATGATTCCCCTTAATATATATCAATAATGAATCAGAAGTTAATGTGCTCTCTACAGGAACTAAAAAAAAGAAACAAAATATTCCCCAGAAAGCATCAAGTGTTGGTGTGTCAATTATAAGTCAAATATCCAGGTGTTCTATAGTACCAATACTCCTAGTCACACATACCAAATTTGGTTCTTCAAAACCATCACTCCCTTATCCTTCTCAGCTACAAAAAAAATAACAAAATAAAATCGAAGAACAAACATATGCTCATATACATTTAAGTCAGGTTAATCAAGTTATCATGAGACCCTAAACAAGATTAATTTTGCTCACAAAATTGCCTATTCGCTAAATTTGCTCGCCAAAAAAACTCAACTACTCACCCAAAGTATTCATCATCTAACCACAGGTACTCCACATAACGAACTCACCAATGGTAGTTAAATTTAATTTGAAACTCATTCTAAGTTCTTTCTAAGTTCCTATCAAGCACATAGCTGTAGGCATAAAACAACCATAAAATAATTCTACCTTTCGTCCAAGTAATGCATTATCATGTAAATCAACATGTAGCCAACTATATCTCTAACCTTTGCCCTAACTCTAAATGAGGCCATTGATCAAAATCTAGCATGCAATAAACCCTACACCTTCAGCCCCCTCAGTCTTGAAAACTAAACAGACCATTTTTGTTCTTCAGCCCTCAATCTCTCTTCGTAGCAAACAACTCCAACATATAAACGGTAACAATCAATCTAATTCAAATTTTTCTTCAGTGCATGAGAAAAATGGCGCGTGTAGGAGAAGAGAGATTACCGATGCCGGGATCCGTGTCGATGATGACCTTCTCACCTCCGAGAAGAGACGTGTGGCTACCGTTGTTTACTAGAGATCCAGCACCTAAGCCCGACGTCATGGACTCCATAGCCTTCATCTCTCTCTCTATCTCCCCCCTCCGTTCCCCTTTTCTTCAACAATATTAGGGTTAGGGTTTTCCGAAGAGGAGAGGAGGAAGAGGAAAGAGATGGGTGGTGGGAAAGGAAAGGTGACTGGAGGAGGTTTAACTTTTCCTCCCGCTCTTTCTTATAATCTAGGGGCATTTACAGACAGACCACCCGAAAATTGCTATTTACAAATCAGCCCCTCAATTTCATCAAAATTCATGGTAACACTTAGAGGTGTAAATGAACCGAACATGAAGTAACAGAGCTTGTGTTCGTGTTCGGTTCGTTTGAAATTTAGTTTGTTTGAAATAAGCTCGTGTTCGAAATTATTCGTGAAGTCACTGTTCGTGTTCGTTTTTTAACGAACGAGTCGAACCCGAGCTATTTGCGTACGACGAGTCAGTTTGACATCCCTAATATATATATATATAAATAATATATTATATCAATTATATAA